ACAGCCCACTTCTTCGGATGCGCTTTCGTGGACTACAGCCCACTTCTTCGGATGCATGCATCCGAAGAAGTGGGCTGTAGTCCACGAAAGCTTATGCTCTAATAAATTTGTTAGTCTCTAAGGTGCCACAAGTACTCCTCTCTGAAACCTGTCAAAAAATCTTACTGCGTTATAGGTGAAATCGCGTTATATCAAACTTGCTTTGATCCGCTGGAGTGCGCAGCCCCTCCCCCCCCCCCAGAGCGCTGCTTTACCGCGTTATATCTGAATTCGTGTTATATCAGGTCGCGTTATATCAGGGTAGAGATGTACCATATTTAGGACCTATTTCTGATCCAAGTTACACTGGTATAAATCAAACATGAAGTCAATGGAGATACTTCAGATTCACCCTGATATAAGCAAGATCAGAACCCATGTCTAATCTGCGACACATTTTCTTTTGTGACGAACTGACCTTTAATATTTTAAAAATAAGATTTACAATATACTGAATATGATATTGGTATAACGATTGACTAGAATAAGTTTTCTTTTTGAATAATATAAGTAACATGGGCAGATCCTTTGCTCCCAGGTTCATCAAAGTAAATCTAGAGTAACTCCCCGACTATAGAATTTGGATTAATAATAATCTAATAATTAATTATAAGCATCCTTTGAATAACAGATATGAGAAATATATAACAAATATACAGTTATAATAATTTCATTGTTGACGTGGAGGCATTTCTGAATCCATGATTGCTTTTGTTTGCTATACTTTGTTTCTTTTGTCTGACAGACTGAAATCTTTAACATTGAAGTGAAAACAATGTATAAATTATGGCCAAATATTTTATAATTTGGTGCCTAAATCTAGTCACATACATCCACCTTTAGGCACCTAAATTAAAGAAGTCTAATTTCCAAAGGTGCTGAGTACCCTCACATCTATTTAACGTCAGTGGACGCAGTGGGTACTCAGCATTTCTGAAACACTTTTACTTACATGCCTAAATGTGGATTTAAATACCTAACTTTTGACTCCCACGTTTGAAACATGTCCCCTATATTTTGTACATATCCACACCCAGGTGTTCTCTGTATGTGTACAGCGTACATCAAAATAAGTTCAGAAGTAACAACTATCTTTAGAGCAGGGGTGCACAAATGTTTCCTGCCATGCCATCCTTTCCATTACCTGAAATCTGTTAACTTTTTTTTTTTGCAAGTTGGTAGAAGGCATGAATACTTTATTTTCATTACTAAATTTATAATTTATAAAGGTTATTAGGAGGTAGCAAACACGAAGTATTACAAACTGCAAACATAGAATTTCAGATGAAAAATAAATTAACCACTCACATCAACTATTCCTTCTTGAGTTCCTTCCTCTTCTTCCTATACCCTGCAGTGGGACTGGGATCCCGCGGGTCCCACAGGACCTGCTGCCCTAACAGCAGGCGTGGGATAAAAATTCAACAAACAATGCGGGAGTGGGTGGGAGTGGGTATTGTGTGGTGGAACAGAAGTCTTCCCGCGCTGCAAACGAATGAACATCCCAGTCAGCAGCCACCGCTTTTCAGCCACCAACGCCGCCACCAGAAGTGGCGCAGAAATAAGGGTGGCAAAGGGGCA